ATATATATATATATATATATATATATATATATATATATATATATATATATATATATATATATATATATATATATATATATATATATATATATATATATATATATATAGCTAGTTGAGTCTGATTAGGAATCTCGTTACTGAGGCCCATTTGGTACAGTTGGTATGTTGTTCGCTTGACAACCCAACTTTCAGGGTTTCGATACTCGGTGGTGGATGCGCACTTCTGATGAGTCCCAATTATAGGACGAAACGGCCGTCCAGTCCTTCCTCTATTTCCTGTTGAGGTTTCTATCAAACTCAATGAATCAATTAAATATATATATATGTATTCCTAAATGTTTCATTAAATAATATAGACAAGTGTTGTCTATTTCTTTTATGTAAATTCTTTTCATAACGTCTGAGAAGCTTAATAACATTATCACTAAACGAAGAAAGAAAATCACAATATTGATACATATTTTTTAATCCAATCTAAGCTTTCGGCTTACGTAAGCCATTATCAAAAATGACAATTACTGTACAATATATTAAGCAATATATGGGCAAGAATGTGATGATAGTCTGTTACTGTTTACATGGATGAATTCCAAGCAACGATAAACACGTGCATATAAGACGCTGGAAGCGAAAATCGCACCGCAACTTTAAAAAAAAAAGGGGGGGAAAGAAAAGTCAGACGACGGGGAGTGGTAGTTAAACATTTATTTATTATTTTCTTTTCCGGACGAGTATAATTTCTTATATTTATAAGATCATTACTAGTATATATATATATATATATATATATATATATATATATATATATATATATATATATCAAACGCTTACTCATGCGTACTTATGTTTATTTAACATCCCCAGGGCCCACCTGTGTTTTATATTGCAACTATGCTGAGCAGACCTTAATTACAATTTCTGGAGAGAGCGTTTTATCTAGCGTGATCAACAATTTGAATAAGGCCAACATGCTCAATCCCTCGGGCACGATGACTCGTGACTTCGTGTTAGCACAGCTATCGATAGAGCAAGGTCCCAAGTGTGACGTCTACTCAATTTTACATACGTCAACCAGTAGTATACTTTTCAGGCACTTTTCAAATGTGCCGCACGCTGGGATCATCCCCTCCATCATCCTTCCTGACAAATCGAACTTTTCTAACCACTCGGCCAAGCGCCCATATATATATATATATATATATATATATATATATAAATTAATTGATTTAAAATATGTTTTAATTACAAAATTAAATTCGGAGCTTTTAGCTTCCATTTTTGAAACATGGTTAGAAGTATGTAGCGAAAAAAAACATATTTTAAATCAATTAATTTATAATATTAATGCTCTGTAAATTTACATTGAGCACTATTTTGTAAAAATAAAAATATCTATAAGAACACCGGATTATATACCGTACTGTTCTTTCTATATATATATATATATATATATATATATATATATATATATATATATAGTATTTTATTGTTATTTCCTTTGATTCTGTCTACCCAATTTCACTCACAAGGCTTGGGTCAAACCGTGTTATGGTTTTCAAGCACTTTCGAAAAGTGCTGCATGCTGGGATCAACCCCTCCTTCCTGACAAATCGACCATGGCACGATACGAACCCGGGTCTCACGGTCATAGTGCAAAAGTTCCAACCACTCGGCCTTGTGGCCATAAATATATAACAAGAAAAAAGGCCACCGGGTCAAATGTGGCAGTAATATTCAAAGCATGAACCAATGGTAGACTTCTAAATATGTAAGATAGATTCAGACGAGAAAAAATTGTCTGGTACAACACAGTGAACTAACAAACTGATTCAATATATTCTTTTCACTTCATGTCAGCGGAAAACATTAGTCCGAGATGACGCAATCAGTTAATCTCCAGGAGGTTATAATCAGCCATGATGAGGAAAGACAGAAATGAGCCTCTCAAAGTGCAATTTCGTTTTACAGGCGTAACAAATTAACAAGTTATTCCTTGCCCAATGTAAAAAAAAACAGAATGTATTTTAAGTTTCTAGATCAGCTGTCAATATGACATTAGCGGACTGATCAGAGTTACTGACAGGATTAAATTGTTGTGTCATCAGCATATATACATAGTTGTTTGAGTATCTCGAGGCTATGTAATGGTTAGCAAGATTTTCACGCTAGAACAATTACGACTGAGTAATGAGTTCGATCCTCTGAGGGTGCCCCATACATTCGGCCTTGTGCCACATCTTATCTACGCTTGGAAAATCATTTTGGGCATTTCAAGGCGGTGTAATTGTTATCAAACTTGTCTCGCTAGAACAATTACGACTGCGTAATGAGTTCGATCCTAACTGGGTGCCCCATAATTTCTGCCTTGTGCCACATCAAAGCTACTCATGGAAACTCACTATATACATAATTGTTAACTGATAGCATCAGCAAAGTCGTTGATGAAAATTAGGAAAAACTTAGGTTCAGGCATAGATTCCTGGCGCTACCAGCAGTAATGCAAGAAGATCTAGAAGAGTAGCCATTCAAGACAACTATCATTTCACGTTTTGATTTCGCCCAAGCATACTATAATGTTTTGACGTGTGGGGAAGACCGGTTTGCCAAACCAGGTCAGATACCTTCGAGCTTTCCAAAGAAACAGGCCGAGATTCATCATTCTTATCTGAAGGTCCATAGTCTTTTACGGCAATAATCTTACTTATTATAAAACGAAGATTGTTTGTGTGTGCGTGTGTCTGTACGTTTATATAGTGGATCGGATTTCCTACATTTTTCAACCAATTTCAACAAAACTTCACAGGACTGCGTAAAATTACCTTGCGGTGGTTCTGACAGTGCCAAAAATTGGAAAAACACAATTGTTTTTGCATGAAATCAATTTGAAAACATGAGAAAATACGATTCTGTCGCCAGAATGAAAGGGGGACAAATCATATCGAGTTATACTTATTATAAAACCCAGGTTGTTTGTGTGTGTATTCGTTTATATATGGGATCAGATTTCCTACATTTTTCAACTGATTTCAACAAAACTTCACTTTTTTTTGGCAGGTAGTGTTTCTTATTGTCTTGCACACTTTTTCTTTATTTTTACATTCAGAATGCTTTAAAAATTCCATTTACAAGACAATAGTTTATAATAAAATTCTATTCAATCATAACAATTCATATATTCAACCACAAAATTTTATTCAGACTCATAACAACTGAAAACAATGCTTTTGTTTGAGTTTGGGTTTGACTAATTCGTAAAAAAAAAAAAAACTAATTAAGACATGCGTGTCCGTCAACCTTAAACAATAATCTTTGTAAATTTTATTTTTCAGTCTTTATGATGGTCGATACTTGATCTATCTCTTACTGTTACATCCCCGGGCAACGCCGGGCTCTACTGCTTGTCGTTAATACATTTTGGGAAGGTTATTAGAATAATCCAGACTTTTTACTTGAGGTCGAGGGAGCCAGCTGCAGAAAATTATCTGAGGATAACACAGAAAAAGCGTAATACAAAGGATATAGATTTTTAACCGGATTCTTTTACGATTTTAAGAGAACTAGAAGTCCTACCAGGATTTATTATTAGTAAGCACAACATTAACAGAATAAGATACGAACATGTCACCGTGCTGATAGGCTGACATATTAAAAAAACAAACTAGAAACTATTACTCAATGCAGTAAAGAATACTACTAAGAAAGGACTAACTATAAATAAGACAAAATCTATGGGTTGCCAGTAAGGAGAGCAGCTCCATATGTAATCTAAAATCAAATCTAAAATTTTAATATTTACAATTATTTTTTAACATAAGACGGAAAATGTGACTGGGAAATCCATTTTGTTTTAATCAATTCCCCAAAGGAAGAGAATAATGCCAGTAAGATGCAAGAGCCTACTGAAAAAGGATGAGAAGACTTTACAAGGAACCAGATATCTAATCCTTAACAGGAAACAAGGGATAACCCTCTACTCCTGTTCAAAAGATCGGGGAGGAGAATGGACTGGACGATAGGATGCGCGTTGGAATAGCGAAAGATGTCTTCTAGAAGCTAAGCAAAATAGATGAAACAGAAATAAATACGTTAGAAATGAATGAAAAATAGCCGAACTGTTATATAGTATCGAGCCATCTCTATGACGGCGAATGCGGAACAAGCTCCTTACGGCTGAAGAAGGGACTTGAGGCAAAAGGTGTATGTCTCTACAGAAGGACAATGAGAATAACAAGTGAGCAGCGATGAAGTTTTAGGAAAATGGAAAAGCTTTTACTTAAAATCAGTAAGAGACATTTAAAATTTCTCGGAGACAACGAGAAAAGTGAACTTGGAGAATTTAACATTCACAGGATATATTAACGGCAACAGACACACAGGTAAACCATAAGATTGTAATTTTTACCTACCATAAAATTGTGTAAGTGGATATCAGAATAAATATCTGAAGGCGATTAAGAGACAAACATTGCTTAGCGCTACAAAGGATAGGGAATTGTGGAGAGCCATCATCATGAAGGGACATGGTGCATAAAGATCACAACTACATATTCAATATAATTTTATAATTAAATATTCTACAAAAGATTTTTAATATCTATTTAATTTCGAAATTTTTTCTTTTTAAATTTTCTAATCTTTATTCGCAGTTGTTGATTTTTAAACCGTGCTTGGATACAAAGTGTGTTGAATTACATGATAACCACTCAAGCTATGAAGAACAACGAAAAGCAACTAGGCGTATCGAAGCAGGGGCATGATACAATGGAAGTTAATGCAGGAGATATTGGTTTTGAAGGCTCCCAGGAAGGAAGCGCTATTATAAATGGTAACAACATATCTTTGTTTACTAGTTTTTGTGGGTGGTGTTGATGTTGATGGCTGGTCGATCGGTCTGTCGCTTAGAAGAAGAGAGGGAAGGGTCGAAAAGGTTAACCCAGCTGAGAAAGAGGACGATAGATTAAAAAAAGAAAAAAATGAAAGAAAGATAAGAGGAATTGTAGTCAGCAAAGAAAGAAAGAAAGAAAGAAAGAAAGAAAGAAAGAAGAAATAAATAAAAAAAATGATACAGCAATAATTGAAAGTGGGAGATTAAAATGGAAAGAAAGAATAAACGAACGAAAGGATGGAGGAATAAATGAAAACATGAAAGAAAAAAAGAAACATTTTAATGTAATTACTAAAAAAAATCTCTGACAAGGAAAGAAAAAGTGAAGAAAGAAAGAAAGAAGGAAAAAATATAAAAAATAAAAACAATAATAAATAAAAAAATAAAAATAAAAACATAATAAAACGAAAGATGGAAGGAAAATTTAATAAATCGGGAAGCTAGGAAATACAAAGAATTTAAGAGATGGCATGAAAATTAGAAAGAAAAATTGAAAGACAAAACGTAGTGAATGAAAAATGGAGTGGATGAAACAATGAAAACATAACAAAAATAAGATTTTGGAACATAGTCATCAGAAAAAAAAAAAAAAGAAAAACACACTCAGAAATGAAAAACTGCGAAAGAAGCTTCTGGAAGAAAGAATCAATGAAATGAAGAATGAATGAATGAATGAATGAATGAATGAATGAAAACATAACAAAAATAAGATTTTGGAACATAGTCATCAGAAAAAAAAAGAAAAACACACTCAGAAATGAAAAACTGCGAAAGAACGTCTGGAAGAAAGAATCAATGAAATGAAGAGTGAATGAATGAATGAAAGAAAAAAAAGGAGAGATTTAAAACTTAATTACCAGAAAAGAAAACAACCCGAACGAAAGAGAAAGATGAGAAATAAATAAATATAGTAATGAATGAATGAAGAAAAAATAAAGAATGAATGAATTAATAGAAGAAAGACGAAATGAAAAAATGAATAAAGATAGTTTTAAAACGTGATTATAAAAAAAAAACATACTGAAAGGTTAAAAGAAAGAAAGAGAGAGAGAACAAAAAGATTAATAAAAGAAAAAATCTTAAGAGTGGAAGAAAGAAAGTGAAAAATATAAGTATAGGAAAAATAAGAAGAAAAACTGAGAAAAGAAAAAAAGGACATTCGAAATAAGGGAGGTATCAATAAAAAAAATAGAAAAAAAAACAAAAACAACGAAGGAATGAAAGTAACATAAAAAGAAAGAAAATATAGGAATCCATTACTGGTAATGAAAGAAAAAAGGAAAAGAAGAAGGAAAGAACTGATTATGAAACAAAAAGAGAGACAAGGGAATCAATGTCTAACGAATAATAAAATGAATTAAAAAAGAGGAAAAATGAAAAAAAGAAAGAAAGAAAAATATGAGAATAAAAGAAAAAGCCGTAAAAAGCTATGAAGAATATTAAATTCTTTGGTAGAAGAAAAAAGAAAAATATTCCTATAATGTAGAATAATATTTTTCGGTCTGTCAAGCATAAAAAAACTGGTAAAAATGAATAAAAATTGATGAATAAATAAATAAATAAATGAATGAATAAAACACCAATAATCGACAGACGTTGTTCTGAAGTCCATTCGAATTGAAAGAAAGGAAGAAAAACAAATATAACTTCAGAATAAAAGACAAATGTCATAACCCTATGAAAAAAGTCATCTCCATATTCCTAAACCGAAAAAAAATATCTTCCTTCTTTTTACCAATCATTAATTTCCTCAAGCCAGTCACCACCATAAAATAAGTAAATAAATACATATTGCTACTACTACTGATAATAATAATAATAATAATAATAATAATAGGGAGAGTAGAACTCTTAAGAGAAAATAATAAAACAGTGAAATAAAAAAAAAACAAAAAAAACTGGCAATATAAAAAAAGGAGAGAAAAATAGAGTCTTTCACGGATAGCCTTTTCTCATTTTATGTGCGATTTTTTTGTTAGATGACCTCGATGGACTTCGGCCGATTTTCTGTCTGTCGCCTACGCTCGCCATCGAGACGAACAAAAGGTCCAAGCTGTGGCTAATACAAAAGAAAACTAAATTAAATAAATTAAAAAATGAAAAGAAAAATAAATAAAATCAGAGTAATGTTGTTCACAATGATCAACAACATCAATAATAATAAGGAATTTTGGCCATTGTACTTTTATCAAAGGTGACACGGGTGAGGTTTTAGCATTGAACGTATGAGACACATTACTCGGTTTTTCATAAAGAAATTTGTAAGCAAAATACTTCTGTGCTGTCAGGATTGATTCCTGGCCACTGGAAATGGTTTCTTAGCCTACTTTTCAATACAATTCTATAATTGAATTCATTACACAATATTCTTATAATGATATTATTTGCAATAATACAACCATTAACAATGCCGATTGCAGAGGGGTAAGAAAGGAGTCACCTTTCATGTGGGTGATTGCAGACCCATGTATAACCACAACCAGTGTTTTTCTATACAGACCCCACTATAAATCCATCCGTTTTTACCAATGGAGACTCAAATATAAAACTGACCAATATTTACATATTCGAGCTGACGCCTGTATCAGAACAATCACTTTGAAACACAAGTTCACGTACGATCCCCAAAGTCAAGCAATATCGAGCCTGGTCAGTACTTAAATGGGTGAGTGATTGGGAATCGCAGGTGGTTTAAGCTTGGATGTGCGGCTGGTGTAATGAGTAACGGCATGGAATTTAAAATCGGAGAGCCGGGTTTCAATTCCAGTCGGGTACGATATATTCACATGCGCAAATACCATTGGGAAAAATATGAACCCAACACTTCTCCCCGAGCTATGGGTTAATTAGTAAGGCTAAAACGATTATTATCTTCCTAAAATGTTTTCAAACTTTAAATAATCATAAAATGCTTGATAAGCCAGAGAAAACGATTCATGAAATGAATCCTATACAGACCCAAGTATAAAACTAAAAAACCTACGAATTTCTCTGCAGCAGGAACGAAAATAACTGACATCACAGGAGAAAAATAACATTAATCATGCGATATTCCGTATCAGCAAGAAGATGGATACCTGATGATGTCCAGCGGGTAATTAGCCGAAACATTGTGTTTATAAAAGTGAAGATGTTTTAAAATGATTCCGGCAAATTGGCATAATTTACATATGTGCGTCAATACATCCGGGTCGGTGATGTCTCAGATTTTCTCAAACAGCTATCTATTCACGCTCCTATAATTATAAAAAAATTGCCGGCATTTACAAAAACTCATTCTCAGATAAAATTGTTAGAGTGTATATGAAAGTTCATTCAGTCCTATAAATGTAATCAGAAGGAGTGTTGTTTCGGCTTGAATATTATTAGCTTTTGACTATTTTTCTATCTTTCTCTCACTCTCTCTCTCACTCTCTTTCTCTCTCTTTTTACATATATATATAGATATAGATAGATATACATATGTATATTTCTGTGTGTGTGTGTATATATATATATATATATATATATATATATCTTTCTCTCTCTCTCTCTCTATATATATATATATATATATATATATATATATATATATATATATATATATGAACGACGAAATTTTTCGTATACCCATCAATTCTGAATATTTTATCCATTTCTCAGAATCTAATACCCGTATCATTTCCAAACGTATCCTAACTTTTCACGATGTCTTTCAAAACAATTATTGGGTATATATTCTTCTCGCGACACAGTTTTAAAAAAATAAAAAAAAGTAAAAGAAAAAACAAAAAAACAATAAACGGAAAACACATAATTATCTTCCAAATAACCGACGTATAACCATATAAGAAAAAAACAAAAAAATAGTAAAAAAATTCCCCCGTAGCAATGATTAAAAATATCCCTTGTTTTTATAACGCTGATCGACCCTACTTTATGCAATAAGAATGTATAATTACTCTCCAAGCATAACAGATGAATTATAATGAAATCGATTATAAATGAAAATGACACGTTCCTCATAAGTAAACATAGCTAAGGATCGGAGGCTTCATGAAGTATTGAAATAAAGTATATATATATATATATATATATATATATATATATATATATATATATTATTCTAGTATCATTTTCCCACTTATTCAAGATGATCTTCGCTCTCTAACTTTCTAAACTTCTGTCCTAGAGTAACAAGGTACCTCAAATGAAAATGACACGTTCATCATTAAGTAAACATAGCTAAGGATCGGAGGCTTCATGAAGTATTGAAATAAAGTTCATATATATATATATATATATATATATATTATTCTAGTATAATTTTCCGACTTATTCAGGATGATCTTCGCTCTCTCTAACTTTCTAAACTTCTGTCCTAGAGTAACAAGGTACCTCAAATGAAAATGACACGTTCATCATTAAGTAAACATAGCTAAGGATCGGAGGCTTCATAAAGTATTGAAATAAATATATATATATATATATATATATATATATATATATATATATATATATATATATATATTATTCTAGTATAATTTTCCGACTTATTCAGGATGATCTTCGCCTTCTAACTTTCTAAACTTCTGTCCTAGAGTAACAAGTTACCTCAAATGAAAAATGACACGTTCATCATTAAGTAAACATAGCTAAGGATCGGAGGCTTCATAAAGTATTGAAATAAAGTTCATATATATATATATATATATATATATATATATATATATATATATATATATATTATTCTAGTATAATTTTCCGACTTATTCAGGATGATCTTCGCCTTCTAACTTTCTAAACTTCTGTCCTAGAGTAACAAGGTACCTCAAATGAAAATGACACGTTCATCATTAAGTAAACATAGCTAAGGATCGGAGGCTTCATGAAGTATTGAAATAAAGTTCATATATATATATATATATATATATATATTATAGTATAATTTTCCAACTTATTCAGGATGATCTTCGCTCTCTAACTTTCTAAACTTCTGTCCTAGAGTAACAAGGTGCCTCAAATGAAAATGACACGTTCATCATAAAGTAAAACATAGCTAAGGATCGGAGGCTTCATGAAGTATTGAAATAAAGTTCATATATATATATATATATATATATATATATATATATATATATATATATATATATTTATTCTAGTATAATTTTCCGACTTATTCAGGATGATCTTCGCTCTCTAACTTTCTAAACTTCTGTACTAAAGTAACAAGGTACCTCAAATGAAATGACACGTTCATCATTAAGTAAACATAGCTAAGGATCGGAGTCTTCATGAAGTATTGAAATAAAGTTTATATATATATATATATATATATATATATTATTCTAGTATCATTTTCCAACTTATTCAAGATGATCTTCGCTCTCTCTAACTTTCTAAACTTCTGTCCTGGAGTAACAAGTTGCCTCAAATCTTTCACGTACTATATTATTTTCAAGACTTTTACTCTGCTCTTTGGACTGGCATAGATGAAACACGTTTCTTACGTGCTAAACATCTTATGGATTGAGTTGGATCTTTTTTAATTGATGTCTTTAGCTCTTAATAGAAATGATAATCCCTCTTGCAATTGTGAACTCCTGATCCAGTCTTCCTCTCTACAGTTCCCTCTTTTTTAATCTTGTTCACCGTTCTCTTGATGGTTCTTGGATGGACATTGAAAATGGATATCAGAGTATGAATGTTGGGACTGTGATGAAAAATGACCCACGCCTCCATTTCCAACCTATATATGAATAAAACATTTCTTCACTTAGTGTTGTGGTAGGACCCACCTAATTTGCATAGTGGAGTACCGACCATATAAATATGGTTGGTACCGGGAAGAGAGGGAGGAATCAAGAGATTCAACCAGAGACTCTGCCCGACTGCGACTCAGTCAACACATTCTCCAGGAACGGTCTTACCAGGAATATACGAGAGACTATATGTAAATATTGTGTACACTTTCTTGTTTCAATACATTTTGTTCTAAGTAAATTTTGTGTTGCATTATTATTTCATGCATTAGTCAAGTTTCAACACTTAGTTTTTCTAAACATCGCGTGAGAATGAAACGGTGCTCTAAATTTTAAGTTTAATATTGAAATTAAGCTTTAGGACTTGAGTTAAATTTCGAAATGATAATTTCTGTCTCACGATGGAATCATATTTTTTTTAAATAATTATAATATATATATATATATATATATATGTTTTGAACAATATTAAATAATTAAAATCTTTAGACACACTGGGTTGTATATTAATATTCTTTCGTTTTTATTATTTCAGTTAGATTCCTCGACTAGTTTCCGCCAACATGGCCATTATCAGGAGAACAAAAATCTGCTTTCTAGTAGCAGTGAACTACAGAAATGAATGACTTGATTTAGAAAATGAACTTTTGTCTGTAGTTTTTATTTGTTTTTTTTTATCATGAATTTTGGTCACTCTTTATATATATATATTATATATTTAAGACTGAAAACTATTTTTTTATCATGAATTTTGGTCACTCTTTATATATATATATATATATATTATATATATTTAAGACTGAAAACTATGCACAGTGAATAAAATAGTAAACTAACACTAAGCTAATATACACATATATAGATATGGTAAAAATTATGTATACGCAGATATACATGCACTCGACGTGGTGTAATGGTTAGAAAGCTTGTCTTGCTAGATCAGTTACGGCTGAGTAGTGAGTTCGATCCTCACTGTGTGCCCCATACATTCGGTCTTGTGCCACATCTAAGTCGGGCTTAGAAAATCACTAAAATTGCACGTACATACATACATACACACGCACATACACACACATATTTCTTAGCTGTTATAAAATCAGTGATCAATGTTATATAACAGAGCTAAGGATCGGAGGCTTCGTGAAGTATTGAAATAAAGCTCATATATATATATTATTATTATTATATATATATATATATATATATATATATATATATTATTCTATTATTATTTTCCAACTCATTAAAGATGATCTTCGCTCTTCTAACTTTTATATTAGTGAACACACACATTATCCCACATTGGTAGCACACGACTCGGAATTTCATGCAGTTACGCAATCAGGTGTTGACTACTTAATGACATTTAAGCGTGACGAAATTTGTACCCCCCTTGATACCTTGCGCTGTGTTTCGAGACTACGTTAAGCGTGATCTTGTCTCCTGTCACACTGACACAACACAACTGGAGAACCTCACAAGGAATCGGATCGTCTGGCGGTCTCTCTGCATCGCTGGAGTGGCGCACTTCGTTGAGGAGAGACGAGAAACGCTCGTGGGGAGGCGACGCCAGCTTCATCTGCAGCCTGCCAATTCCACACCGGGCATGTTTCCCTGTCAAATGTGCCAGAGAATTTGTCGTTCTCGGATTCGGTCTGCTATCTCATTTGGCAGCCCACTGAAGACGGAAGGAGATGGAAGGCCAGCGTCTTAGACAGCAATGACGGACAACCTAAGAGAGAGAGAGAGAGAGAGAGAGAGAAAGTGAGAGAGAGAGAGAGAGAGTACAGCTGACATTGATCCATGACGCTTTTTTACGTAAAGTCAATTTTTTTACAAATATTTTTCTAAAAATTCCCCGTATTTCGGACTTGAGTCTCACATCGATATAAATTATTAATAATTAATTTAAATATTACAGACAACAATAATATAAGGAACAAATTTGAAGCAACAATTTTAAGTCAACTCCACGAGAACGCCAATTTCGCAACATTTAACATTCAGTGACTATTCAACACCTAATGATTGTGTAATTGCATGAAACCCCGAGTCGTGATATCGACGTGGGATATTTTGTGTATTATATATATATATATATATATATATATATATATATATATATATATAAACGTATATAGGATGTACAGAAGGTTCTTTTAAACGTAGATGGTATAATCATAGATCATGATACTCCACCGAACTTGCTAGCCATATTTGGAAATTTAACAAAAAAAATAAAAAAATAAAAAAAAAATAAAACAGCAGGCATCCGTTCGTAAGGTGGAAACGTTTAAAAAAGGTAAAATCATAAGACAATCATCACCGCATTTGAAACCTATGTCTACATGAGAAATTAGCTTATTGTGATATTTCCGGATCCAAAAAACCTTTTAAACCAGAAATCAGAAGTCCTTACCTTCATATCAAAAAAAAAAAATATAAGTGATTATGAGGCTGGACAAAAAAATTCAATTTAAGACCCCACAATACGTTTGCTTTTCTTCACTTCCCATTCTCCCTTCCTTTTATTTACGTTACATTTGTTGTTTTTCTTTTCTTTTCTTCTTCCTTTTCTTTATACTTGTACGATACGCTTGCTTTACTCTTCTTCTCTTCACCCTTCTTCTTTGCGTTTACGATAAACACTTCCTTACATTTAAGATATATTTGCTTTTATTTTCTTCTTCGTCCTTTTCCTTATACGTCTATGACACGTTTGCGCTTCTCTTCTTCTCTTCACTATTTACTTCTTCTTTTCTTTCTTCATCCTTCTCCACATCCTCCTCTTTTTTATTACACTTAACGTCGCGTGTTTGATGGCCGTGCGTTTGTTCATTTATTTTTGAAAATAATAATGTAGTTTTCATTGTGTGTGTGTGTGTGTGTGTGTGTTTTTACATGTAAAAAGCGTTAGGTCGTCTGTTGATAAAAAAACGCCTGATGAGACCGTAAGGTCGCCTAATCAACTGTTCGCCTGATTTTTAAAGTTACACACAACCATATATATATATATATATATATATATATATATATATATATATATATAATTGTATAACGATATTATTTGGTAATCCGTATGGATAATTATAAAGAGGATATAGATCTAGAGAGAGAAACAGTGCAAATGATAATTATGAAAGCGGAGACTTTTAAAATCCACGGTAATATTTTATTTCCTTAAAACCGATAATATATATATATATATATATATATATATATATATATATATATATAAGCAAAAAAGCTAATAACATTCAAATGACATTCCTTCTGATTATAATGAGAGGGCTGAATAGACTATATATATAGCGTGTTAGAATTTTATGTAAAAATTGCAATAAGCCTTGCTAAATGCCGGCAACATTTCTTGCTTATAGGAGCGCGAACACTGATAGTTGTTTCATAAAAGCACAACTATCGCTGATCCGGATGCTTTGACGCGCAGATGTAAATTATACGAACTTCTTTCCAGAATCTCGATTGGTATGTTTTGATATATTTTTACTTTGAACGTTTGACCTTTATATAAAGATTCGACAGCTCCTAAAATTAAATTCTATTCCACACTTAAATATATATATATATATATATATATATATATATATATATATATATATATATATATATATATATATATTATATTTCTTCTGGAAAAATACTATATTTTCTAAGACATTATACTAACATATATAATTACTTCATGTGTTTTATGTTTAACAAATTGACAAATGTACCATTTATACTTGTTCATACATTTCACGAGAGGGTAGTGAACGAAGATTATAAAGTTCGGGTTTTCCCTTCCATTTTCAATGCAGCCCACACCTTGGGTATCGGCGCCTCACTTAGTACATTTTTTTCATAAATAAATATTTAGATATGAAAAGGTCAGATGGAATAAAGAAGAAATGAAATAAAAAACTTAAAACGGAAAAGGAGAGAAAAGAAACGAGTTAAAGGAAATAAAAAAGAGGAAGTGAAGGAGATGGAAGAAGAGAAACAGTAACAAGAAGAGAAAGAATAGAAGATGACAATAAAAGAAAGAACGAGTAACTGAAGGGAACTACGGAAAGAAGAAGAAGAAGAAGAAGAAGAAGAAGAAGAAGAAGAAGAAGAAGTCTCCCATAATTCATATCTCGATTCATTCCCGTCAAAATAAATCGTGACATGGGCTCATAACCTATGTTAGACATTTTCATGACTGTCGTCCTCAAGTATAGAATCCAGAGATTGGCAGTGAATATTTCGGAGGCAGTAGGAAAGCGTAGTGCAGGTTCGCAGTGGATATCTCAGCATAGTAGCAGAGCGTAGTTCTTCCGTCTGTCATGTTCGCCTGAGAAGTTGGCTCTGGTCATTCCGGTAGGTAAACAAAGATGGCCGCCTTTATACACGACGGATACAGTGTTCTGCGGCTCCTGATTAGTTAATCTTCTATTGGTAGACTATAAAGGGAATTAAGTGATTTTGAGTAACTCACTAGTTATATACAATATATACACAAAAAACCGTAACAAAGGAGGAGAAGAATTTAAAAGAAAGAAATAGAGTAAAGTGAAGGAGATGGAAAAAGGAGGAAGAGGAACGGAGTAGAAAAAAAAGAAGCGATATGATAAAAAGAAAGAAAGAAAGATTAATTGAATAGAACGAGGAAGAATAAAGAATTGAAGGAGAAGGAAATGAAGAAGAAGAAGAAGAAGAAGAAGAAGAAACAAGGAATATTAGACTAAGACGAAATAGAAGAAAGAATATAAGGAGGAGGATAAGAGGAAGAAGAAGAAGGAGGAGGACGAGGAGAAAGAGGAGAAGGCTGAAAAGAGGAAGTAGACGGAATATAAAAGGATAATAATAATAATAATAATAAGAAGAAGAAGAAGACTAGGAGAAGCGGAACAAAGAATATAAGATGAAGGAAGAGAAGAAGGAATATAAGAAGGATGATAAGAAGAAGCATAAGAATGAGAAGTAGAAGAAAAAAGAAGAAAAAGAAGAAACAACGAACAAGGAATAGAAGAAGAAGAAGAAGAAGAAGAAGAAGAATCAACGAACAATGAATAGAAGAAGAAGAAGAAGAAGAAGGAGAAGAAGAAGAAGCAACGAACAATGAATAGAAGAAGAAGAAGGAGAAGAAGAAGAAGAAGCAACGAACAATGAATAGAAGAAGAAGAAGGAGGAGAAGAAGAAGAAAAAAGCAACGAACAATGAATAGAAGAAGAAGAAGGAGAAGAAGAAGAAGGAGAAGAAGAAGCAACGAACAATGAATAGAAGAAGAAGAAGAAGAAGAAGACGAAGGAGAAGCAATGAACAATGAATAGAAGAAGAAGAAGAAGAAGAAGGAGAAGAAGCAACGAACAATGAATAGAAGAAGAAGAAGGAGGAGAAGATGAAGAAAAAAGCAACGAACAATGAATAGAAGAAGAAGAAGGAGAAGAAGAAGAAGAAGAAGGAGAAGAAGCAACGAACAATGAATAGAAGAAGAAGAAGAAGAAGAAGAAGAAGAAGAAAGCAACGAACAAGATGAATAGAAGAAGAAGAAGAAGAAGAAGAAGAAGGAGAAGAAGAAGAAGAAGAAAAAGAAGAAGAAGAAGAAGAAATAGAAGAAGAAGAAGAAGAAGAAGAAGAAGAAGAAGAAGAAGAAGAAAGAAGAAGAAATGAACAAGGAATAGAAGAAGAAGAAGAAGAAGAAGAAGGAGAAGAAGAAAAAGCAACGAACAATGAATAGAAGAAGAAGAAGGAGAAGAAGAAGAAGAAGCAAACGAACAATGAATAGAAGAAGAAGAAGAAGAGAAGAAGAAGAAGAAGAAGAAGAAAAAAGAAGGAATAGAAGAAGAAGAAGAAGAAGAAGAAGAAACGAACAATGAATAGAAGAAGAAGGAGAAGAAGAAGAAGAAGCAACGAACAATGAATAGAAGAAGAAGAAGAAGAAGAAGAAGAAGAATAATGAATAGAAGAAGAAGAAGGAGAGAAGAAACAATGAAGAAGAAGAAGAAGAAGAAGAAGAAGAAGAACGAAAATGAATAGAAGAAGAAGAAGAAGAAGAAGAAGAAGAAACGAACAATGAATAAAAAGAAGAAGAAGAAGAGAAGAAAACGAACAATGAATAGAAGAAGAAGAAGAAGAAGAAAGAAGAAGAAGCAACGAAGGAATAAGAAGAAGAAAAGCAAGAACAAGAAGAAGAAGAAGAAAACAAGAAGGAACAAGGAGAATTAAGAAGAAGAAGAAAAGAAGAAAAGAATAGAAGAAGAAGGAAGAAGAAGAAGAAGAAGGAGGAGAACAATGAATAGGAAGTAGAAGAAGAAGAATAAAAAAGAACAAGGAATAAAAATAAGAAGAAGAAGAAGAAAAATGAAGAAGAAGAACAAGGAAGAAGAAGAAGAAGAACTAAGCAATAAAATGAATAAAGAAGAAGAAGAAGAAGAAGAAGAAGAAAAAGCAACGAACAATGAATAGAAGAAGAAGAAGAAGAAGAGAAGAAGAAGAAGAAGAAGAAAGAAGAAGAAGAACAATGAATAGAAGAAGAAGAAGAAGGAGAAGAAGAAGAAGAAGGAGAAGAAAAGAAAAAGAAGAAGGAACAATGAATAGAAGAAGAAGAAGAAGAAGAAGAAGAAGAAATGAACAATGAATAAAAGAAGAAGAAGAAGAAGAAGAAGAAAAGAAGAAGAAGAAGAAGAAGAAGAAGAAATAGAAGAAGAAGAAAGAAAAGCGAAAGAATGAATAGAAGAAGAAGAAGAAGAAGAAGAAGAAGAAGAAGAAGAAGAAGAAGAAGAAGAAGAAGAAGAAGAAGAAGAAAACAATGAATAAAAGA